ATCCATGTTTCCGTCAGCGCCAGGAAGTCGAGGGACTGGAGGTTAGCATAGGCTGGGATGAAGTCAGCTTTGTTGGCAGCAGAACGGCAGTTCCAGAGGCTGCCTGAGACCTGGAACTCCAGGTGTGGGGTGCGTGCAGGGACCACCAGGTTAGAGAGGCAGCAGCCACGCGGTGTGAGGCGTTTGTGTAGCCTGTGCAGAGAGGAGAGAACAGGGATAGGCAGAGGCATAGTTGACAGGCTGTAGCAAATGGCTACAATAATGCAGAGGAGATCGGAATGAAATGAACTAAACATCTGGGAGAGGAGAGAGCAGGGCCTCCCTCACCAAAACTTCCACCTCAGAAACTATAATTGTTTCACTGAACCACCCGAACAAAAACTCTCCCAACTTACACCTTTAGAAATCAGAATTGTTGTGAACCACAGCGGTTCAATGTTTAAAGGAATAGACTCAACCCACTTTATTCAGCTAGCTAACTATGACACCATAGCTAACTAGCATGCTAGCATCCAATAACACACAGTTTAGCACCAACACTTGGTCACAACAAACCACCAATAGTGTGTTAACACACTAAGCAGATAATTCGTGTCCGTGTCTAGTTCCTTTCATAACGCAGCAATAATTAAACGTTGGCTAGCTTAGCACAAATATATTGTATTTAGCTGCCACAGTACAGCACACAATGGCTACTGTGTTGACTCTGTTCGAAAAAACGGCTAGCTAGCTAGCTTCGTGCTACACCCGGCACCGCCGAAGACAATGCCAACCTACAGTAACTACCCACAACAGCCCACGATGCCTAACTATATTGAGTTCGACAGGTGGCCGAGGGACCTTGTGTCACACCCTGGCTCTGGGGACTCTATATGTTGAGCCAGGGTGTGTAGATTCTATGTGTTTATGTTCTGTGTGGGAGTTCTAGTTGTTGTATTTCTATGTTGGCCAGAGTGGCTCCCAATCAGAGGCAACGAGTGTCAGCTGTTGCTGGTTGTCTCTGATTGGGAGCCATATTTAAACAGTCTGTTTCCCTTAGTGTTTGTGGGATCTTGTTCCGTTTGGTTTGTTCCGTGTTGGTTGTTAACCTAGGACGTCACGTCATCGTTTTGTTTGTTCGTATTATCACTAAAGATAATAAAGATTAAATATGTTCGTTCATCACGCTGCGCCTTGGTCTACTCTCTTCAACGATCGTGACACCTTGCTGGTGAAAATATTTTTTTGTATCACAATGAAAGCAGATATACTATGAACCAAGGGGGAAATAATTATTAGATTTGTTTGAATTAATGTGGATGTATAGCAAACGCATTCTTGTCTATCTAATGCTAGTCTTGTCCATCTGGTCACAGGATCTTGTTCCGTTTGGTTTGTTCCGTGTTGGTTGTTAACCTAGGACGTCACGTCATCGTTTTGTTGTTTTGTTTGTTCGTATTATCACTAAAGATGATAAAGATTAAATATGTTCGTTCATCACGCTGCGCCTTGGTCTACTCTCTTCAACGATCGTGACAGAAGATCCCACCATACCAGGACCAAGCAGCGTGTCCAGGAGCAGGCAGCCTGGACGTGGGAGCAAATATTGGACGGGCAGGGGTCCTGGACCTGGGAGGAAATCCAGGCCGGGATGGATCGCCGTCCATGGAGTGAGACGGTAGAGGCGCGACGGAGAGAGGAGCAACGGCGTCAACAGTGTCGTCGTCGGACGGACGAGAGGCAACCCCAAAACATTTTTAGGGGGGGGCCTACGGCATGGGCGACGGGGCAGCAGGAGGCAGCTACAGGGCGTAGTAGGAGGTTAGGTGAGGAGGCCACCAGGTTAAGGGGGCTATTGGTGCAGAGGGAGCAGGAGTTAGTGGTGCAGAGGGTAGAGTTACTGGAGGCGATAAGGGAGAAGGTGAGAATAGAGGCACGGCGAGAGGAACTAGGTAGGCAGCTGAGGGAGCGGAGGGTTATGACGAAACCCAGTCCCGCTCCTCACACCAAGCAAGTGGTGTGCGTCACCAGTCCGGTCCGGCCCGTTCCTGCTCCCCGCACTAAGTTAATGGTGCGCGTCGCCAGTCCGGCCCGACCTGTTCCTGCCCCTCGCACCAAGCCTAGGGTGCAGTCGCCAGCCCGGCCCAGCCTGTTCCTGTCCCTCGCACCAAGCCTACGGTGCGCGTCGCCAGCCCGGCCCGGCCTGTTCCTGCTCCCCGCACCAAGCCTACGGTGCGCGTCGCCAGCCCGGTCCGGCCTGTTCCTGCTCCACGCACCAAGCCTACGGTGCGCGTCGCCAGCCCGGCCCGGCCTGTTCCTGCTCCCCGCACCAAGCCTACGGTGCGCGTCGCCAGCCCGGCCCGGCCTGTTCCTGCCACTCGCACCAAGCCTACGGTGCGCGTCGCCAGCCCGGCCCGGCCTGTTTCTGCTCCACGCACCAAGCCTACGGTGCGCGTCGCCAGCCCGGCCCGGCCTGTTCCTGCTCCACGCACCAAGCCTACGGTGCGCGTCGCCGGCCCGGCCTGTTCCTGCTCCACGCACCAAGCCTACGGTGCGCGTCGCCAGCCCGGCCCGGCCTGTTCCTGCCACTCGCACCAAGCCTACGGTGCGCGTCGCCAGCCCGGCCCGGCCTGTTCCTGCCACTCGCACCAAGCCTACGGTGCACGTCGCCAGCCCGGCCTGTTCCTGCCACTCGCACCAAGCCTACGGTGCGCGTCGCCAGCCCGGCCCGGCCTGTTCCTGCCACTCGCACCAAGCCAGGGGTGCGAGTCGTCAGCCCGGTAAGGCCCGTTCCTGCTCCACGCACCAAGCCAGGGGTGCGCATCGTCAGCCCGGTACGGCCCGTTCCGGCTCCACGCACCAAGCCAGGGGTGCGCATTGTCAGCCCGGTCCGGCCCGTTCCTGCTCCACGCACCAAGCCAGGGGTGCGCATCGTCAGCCCGGTCCGGCCCGTTGCTGCTCCACGCACCAAGCCTGGGGTGCGCATCGTCAGCCCGGTCCGGTCCGTTCCTGCTCCACGCACCAAGCCAGGGGTGCGCGTCGTCAGTCCGGCACAACCCGTGCCTGGGTCACCGGTGCCTGGTCAGGTACCGGTCAGCTGCTCCACACCGGAGCTTAAGCAATCCGCTCCTACGATGTCCAGTCCAGCTCCAGCCAGCGGGGCCAGACCGGACCAGGGGCGCTACGGGGGGATTATTGGAGGGTGGTGGGAAAGCCCGGAGCCGGAACCGGAACCGCCTCCGAGGAGGAATGCCCACCCAGCCCTCCCCTGGTTTGTCTATGTGGAGGCGCGGTCGCAGTCCGCGCCTTTGGGGGGGGGGTACTGTCACACCCTGGCTCTGGGGACTCTATATGTTGAGCCAGGGTGTGTAGATTCTATGTGTTTATGTTCTGTGTGGGAGTTCTAGTTGTTGTATTTCTATGTTGGCCAGAGTGGCTCCCAATCAGAGGCAACGAGTGTCAGCTGTTGCTGGTTGTCTCTGATTGGGAGCCATATTTAAACAGTCTGTTTCCCTTAGTGTTTGTGGGATCTTGTTCCGTTTGGTTTGTTCCGTGTTGGTTGTTAACCTAGGACGTCACGTCATCGTTTTGTTTGTTCGTATTATCACTAAAGATAATAAAGATTAAATATGTTCGTTCATCACGCTGCGCCTTGGTCTACTCTCTTCAACGATCGTGACACCTTGATGGTGAAAATATTTTTTTGTATCACAATGAAAGCAGATATACTATGAACCAAGGGGGGAATAATTATTAGATTTGTTTGAATTAATGTGGATGTATAGCAAACGCATTCTTGTCTATCTAATGCTAGTCTTGTCCATCTGGTCACAGAGAGGTAATGTGATAACCTGCCTGCTCACTGTGGTGTTTGATACAGTATATGAGCACCTTAGTGGGTTACATCACTGAGGTAGTATACCTACAGCATACAGACAGACAGTGACGGGTTTAAGACCTTGTTGAAGAACAGATGCTGGTTAAAAATACAACAGTTAATTCTCCTGATATGCTTCTTCTGGGAGAATCTGAGCAACAGCGGTGTATTGAAAATGTTTTTCACCCAATGTCCTCTGCATTATTCATCACTGTAATTATTGTAAAATAATAAATCCTTGTCCCTGTTTTTCTGGGACGACTTGTTTGTGTTGGAATACTTGCGGTTATCTGAGGTATTGTTGTGGACTAGGGGAGGGGGTTTGTGAGGTAGAAGTGCTTAGAGGGTTGTGAAAGGGTGATATGGCCAAGGTTATTGGGTCAGGAAATCCTTACATACTGCATAAAGATATCTATTGAAGTTGAAAACTCGTGTAACAGAGGTTGTTTGAATGTGGAATCACTTTAAAATAGCCTATATATAAACCACAGAGACAAAGGAATTGGCTACAGAGCAGGCCATCAGATATCAAAAGTTCAAGAACCTGCAGTGCTAAATGGGCCTATACTATGGCAGCACTGTAAGCACTATACCAATTGGTGGCTCAGTCTGACCATTGGTGGTCTCAGCAAGCTGGGTCTAACATCACTCATGGGTGCAGTCTGATAGTAGGAGGGTATGACACCATTTCTTTCCACAGGCTAAGTGTTGATTGAGTAGAAATGTTTGGTCCATGCCCCTCATGAGGTTAGCCCTCCTCACCTTTTGTCCCAAGAACTGGGTTTTGTTTAACCACTGGATGGCAGTAATTGTATGTCTATTGTATTGTATTGTATTTAATGTCTTTCATCAAGCTTTCATAAAACTGCATAATGCATAATTAGATATAAAAGTGTCAAACCAACATATTTTCTATTTTAAGAAATCAAATATTTGAAGTAGGTGTAAGCAAAGTATTTGAACTAATACTGAATATTCTAACAGAGGTTTCAGACCCCATCCCCCATACTGTGCGATGGCTGTTGTATCATATCTTCCCACTAACAACATATTTCTCAGTTGTTGCTTGGCTGACGGGAGGAAGGTTATTAGCTGTGAGATGGCGTGGCCGGTACACTGGGGCCTCCTCCTGCTCTGCATAGTGATCCTCTACTGCCAACCAGTGTCCACCGGCAACCGCAGCCCCCGGGGGCAGTCAGGTAGGTCCCAGAGCCAGCCCACACCAGCCCCCCTGGCCCCCACAGGACTCATTATGGCTCCTGGCCACCAGTACGCCTAGCTCCGCTGGAATCTGAGCACGGCCAATACTAATGAGGTGAAAATAGGTGTTTGTGGTCAGCATGTGCTGATGCTACAATTACTGTAGTCTCTTGCCATGGTTCTCCTACAGCGACTGTGGGAAGAGTATACAAAATACTACAATAATCAACTATACATTCATAAATAACAAACAGGTAATTTTCAGTAATTGATTCCCTTGAGTTTTAATGACCAAGTGTTGAAATACACTACAAGTTTACATTTCCTGATGTGCAGCAAAATTCTCAACAACAAAAGAGTGATCAAATGAAGATCCTACATCTGTATGTGAAGGCAGGGAAGTGCACAAAAAACTTCACATCTTTTTGACTGATTTTAAGGACCTGTTGAATTTTTTTCATCCATCTCTATGCATGCTAGTCACGTTACCACCTTTCCTAAACCCTTTGTCTCAGGTTCATCACAGGTAAAGACAGGTACCTGTAAAGTGGTGGACGCCCATCGCTGCTGAAATAAGAACAAGATTGAGGAGCGCTCTCAAACAGTCAAGTGTTCCTGCTTCCCTGACCAGGTCGCCGGGACAACAAGGGCAATGCCCTCTTGTGTTGAAGGTAGGATGCTTCATATAAGATGGTAGAGTTTCAGTACTTCAGGGGTTTGTATTACACCAACATATTGTCAATGTTACAGTTGTTATCTCGCCCATTTTTCCAGGCGGAAATCAGTGTTTCTTGAAGTGCTCTCCAAACAACACGCTGCATCTCATCTCACTCCAAGTGACTGACTGCCCACTGTGCTGTGTTCTCTCCTGTTCTCTTCAGCATCCATCATGCGTCAGAAGTGGTGGTACCAGATGCAGCCCTGTTTAAAGGGAGAGGAGTGTAAAGTACTGCCTGATCTCACTGGCTGGTCCTACAGCTCCGGAAACAAAGTCAAGACCACCAAGATTAGTTTATGTGAAGGGACAGCAAAGGAAATTACATTAATGACTTTGAATTCATGCATTATTACAGTACAGTTCGAAGGCAATGAATCCGACCTGTTAAGAAAACAATCATTAAATGACAAGCAAACTACACATCTGTTTCAACTAGCATTACATCAGGGAAATGGCACCAATGATACATACATGCTTCAAAGTGGTCCCTGTGTAAAGATTATGATAAACAACCTAAAGGCAATGAAATTATTGATTGTTTTGATAAAAGTAAGAAGAAATGTAAGCACTCTCTCTCTCTCTGCCCCCCCCCCCCCCCCCCCCCCTCTCCATGAAGCCTAATTATGTTTGCACATCTAGCTAATGCAAAGATTGAATGAGCACGTTTGTGCACAATCATCAAATGGGTTTACAGTACCTGCAATAAGCCTTGCTTTGATGATAAAATATCCCACAATCAGGCATGATTACTGCTCCCATATGCAGCATGATCACTACTGCTCCCAGTCAGCCACAGAGGGCTAAGCAAGCTTTATTTGGTAATTCTGTGGAAGATGGGGCCAAAAGTACAAACATGAAATGAGACCGTTTTATACATGTAAACCAGCTGATACAGAGATCTGAATGGAATGTGATTAAATCTGACAGCCTTTCATGCCAGTGGACAAACTGCTGCCTTTAGGAATGTGCAAATCTGTGATGTCTTGGCTTTTATCAGCTTGAAATTGATATGCAGTAGGGAAACGTATCATGAGAGTCAACTCAAAGAGAATAGAAAAACAGCTGAACATATACTGCATAAAGTAATGATTTGATAAAAACTGAAACAAACATTCCAACGTTAATCCCTCTGGACAGGTATAGTATACTGATTTGTAATTGCCTCAGGAAGAAACTCTGTTCTGCCATTTTCCTGTCCACTACATACAGTATGTCTAAGATTTGGATCAGGCAGTAGAAATAATGATGTCTAGTGAAGACTGTTGGTACAGGGTGACCCAGCATTTAATGGACCTTTTGAAAGTTTGTGGATTGCACCCGGTTGCAGGAGAACTTTCCTGCAATGCAGGAATGTTTTTACTTGTAGTGTATTTGAGGTTTAAAAAGGCTTCTGCAGTTTGTAATTTCCACTAAAACATTTCAGACTTGATTTTCCCTTGTGAAAAATTTATCAACCCCTACAAAAATGTCAATTAATTAGAATCCACATAATATATCCTGTTGCAGCAGGATTATTTTCCTGCTGTAGCAAACTGGCTCAAATTAAGATCCTACATCTGTTCTTCCTTTTACCTTTTCCAGGTGGCGCGATTGCAAAAACCCATCTCAGCCAATCGACTGAGACCCTGAATGTGCCCTGGCCTACAGTAAATCTCACTATTTTTTTTGCTTTGAAAAAAATGAAGATCTCCTTCAGTCCCTGGGATATAATGAGGAATACACTACCAAATGAGCAGCCCTACCAGATAAGTAAAGTGACTGGTGTGAATTAAAAGGAGAACTCAAGAGGAACTCAAGGATCCTATGCCATACAGTGTGTATCCCTACTCCCCTGCCTGGTCCTCTGAGAGACAGAGATGGGTTTAGCCATGGCAGCCAGCTTCTACATAAGACTGAGGGGCAGATAAAAAAATATTGCTTGGCACATCTCTCAATTGGATTCCATATTGTGTTCTGTCAGAGGGACATTGTCTTTCAGTGGTAGATAAATGCTTAGCTGGTGATTGGATGAGCCACACCCAGAAAGACAACTGGACATTTGAAATAGATTGTGAACTGGGACCAATGACTGTATGAACAGAGGCTTTTGTCTTGACTGTCTCAATGAAGCAATGTGCCCTGCTAGTGACGAGTGGAAGCACATTTGATTTGGGCATTCTTATCGATACGTTATGTGTAGAGTCACTGTCTTGATGTGATTTGTCCTGCCCAACGTTTTGGAGAAAGGGGCTGGATATGCCTGGGCTGTTCCTCGAGCTACTCCAGATTCAACCACACACACACACACACACACACACACACACACACACACACACACACACATACGCAAGGATGTGATGGCATGCAAATAAACATGGAACTCAGATGCAAAACAACGGCTGTTTGAAATGCTAATCACTAGGAGAGGAGGAGAGAGGAAAGGGGCTTCTTCACTGCCGAGAGTATTTACATTATGCTTTAGTTTGTCTTTCTAACTCCTGTCTCCTGTTGAGAGCCGAGAGTATTTACATTATGCTTTAGTTTGTCTTTCTAACTCCTGTCTCCTGTTGAGAGGACCTGCGTTATAGTAATTATGTGAAATGGTACAGAATTGCCTGTGCCTTCAAGCAAATTGTGGCTACAAGCAAAATAGAACATTCACTCTACTGTAATTTACTTTCATCAGTTTCTGTCCTCTCAACACTTTTTGTACATCTATGTTTAGTGTTAAGTTGCGTAATTCGAATCTGGTATCAGAACAGAATTTAACACTAAGTCACTGAATATATTCTCAGCTTTTTTATTAGTATAATTAGTCAAGCGAATAAATGGTAAATGCAATCTTCGTATATACGGGTTCACTGTAACACCTCGCAGGGCAAAACAGAGAACTAACTGTCCCAACTTGTCTCGAGAGTCAGCAACCACAGACATAGTTTCTTCTTCTTCATTGTTGCAGTACACGTCCTTGAGCGGTTTAACAAAGAGGCAGTGTGTGTGTGTGTGTCACAAGTCTATCTCAGCCTCCCCCTAACGGTTCCTCACATTAGTCACAGCTTGTTATGTTAAACAATCTATATCAGTACAGCACAAACCTATTATGTTTAATCATTAATGTATTCTTTTTAAGATAGGCATCACATCTAATTATAAGAAAATAGATCCCAACATTAGTCATAATAATTGTCATTCTTTTGTTCATTCTTTAAAGTAGTTTAAGAAAGCAGTAGAGTTTTTAAAAACATTTTAACATGACAATGCAGAGATGATACAGAACTTCACTGATAGAAACCTATTTATTCCCAATACAACATTACATGACATCCCATCAGAACATGCCAAACAGCCATTTAGTCAGATTCAGCTTGTCAAACCTAACATAAGAGGTTTGCTCACCACCGCCAAAATTATTACCCTGTAAAATGATTTGGCAATTATATCTTCTGAGCTGGATCAGATGTAATGTTGTGTTTATGACATAATAATGAATGCTAGTGTACATGATGCCTAACCTACAATTTTACTCAACATTAACAGTTCTTCACAATGATTTATCTTCCTAATTTATTCAGAACAACTTTCTCTTAATGACCTAGAGATGACACAGCTAATTAATAAAGTGTGAATATGATAAATACAAACCATTATTGCACTGTGTGTTTGTGTGCATGCATGTGGGTGTGCATGCTTTGCCTGGAGAGCCAAGAATTAAAATCACACCGGTTTTAAAATGCCTTCAACTTACTCGGTGCAATAGACAGTGTAATTTGGTCATGGCTCAAAGATATGTACCATGTGTGTGATGGGTGATTTGAAGGAGTCAGGCGCAGGAGGGTAAATCACAGAATACATAATTTATTCCGGATAGCGTCAAACAGTCCAGTGCGCAAAACAGGCGCACTGGAACAAAACAGGCACACAGGGAAAATATACCCCGGCAATACAAAATACACGTAGCTCAACCGACCTACTCTCTTCTCACATTAAACAATCACCCACAAGGACATGGGGGCAGAGGGAACACTTATACACATACTAATGAGGGGATATGATCTAGGTGTGTGTAATAAACAAGACAAAACAAATGGAATGATGAGATGAGGAGCGGCAGTGGCTAGAAGGCCGGTGACAACGAATGCCGAAGCCTGCCCGAACAAGGAGAGGAGGCAGCTTCGGAGGAAGTCGTGACAATGTGTCTTGTCTTGTGCATGATGTCTAGAATTGAAATTACATTTAACATAATTAGAGAGTTGAACAATTATATTTGAATGAATATAATATTAATTGGAATAACAATGTTAGTTCATCTGCCTGTGTATAATTCATTCATGGTGCATGTATGGTCATGGCTCATGGTTGTAGGCAGATTGATGCATACTGTAGCTACTTGTAATCAAATGCATAAAACCATAGTTGAGTCTTTCTCCCTGTTTTCATCGTGCTGTGTCTGATGTCAATGATATCATATGGTAACTATGAGCTTTTCTGCAGTTAACATGGGTATACATGATTTAATATTTAAAATGCATGATGTAAACTACTGTATGACTTATAAAGCAACCATCATATCAGGACAGCCTAATTTCCTGAACTATTTTGAAGGTATCTTGCATGTGGGTAATTGAAATGTACTGTCACACTCCATTAAAGTCAACATGGTGAGCTCACAGCAGAAAAAATAAAATAACACACAGCAGTACACAACAGATAGGGAGAACACACAAAGACTCAGGCACTGCCTGTTTCATGTCATTCAAGGCAGTGTGATTACATTTCACATTCTGGACTAAGTAATATTGGTGTAACATTGTTATGTCCTGTTGTTACCAACTATGAATATGCCATCCACAGCAAAATGTATCTTCTCCAGAAAACTCTTAACATGCATTTGACAATTAATCAATTATTCACCTTTGTCTTCCGTGGGTTTACTTTACAAGGAAAATACTGTACGTTTAAACGTTTTGCCTCCTGAACATCAGCGGGGTAATGTTGATGTAAGGTACACTGAGTTTACAAGGTCAATGAGACAGGCCCACAACACATTAGCCCCGTTTATGCCTGGTTCTAACATGCATCCTTTGTCTTGATCTTATCCACATTCTGAATGTGCCCACATCTTTAGACAGGTGTGGACGATTAAAAGGCACATCATGATCTGATTGTGATCAGATCTTCCTGACCACCTCCAGAGGTGGTACGGGACCATTTGTATCTGGATACCAATCAATTGTAAACAGATCTGGATGATCAAACCATTTAAATCATCATTATACTAGTCTCTAAAATCATTGACAGGTAGCACCATTGACTTATGG